CATCATTCCATCTTTGTATTGTTAGAAGATGTACATTATCTGGTAAATCTTGATTTAGAAACGATTTAGCTTTCTCGGGTACTGCGTTATTAGGGGAAGAACATAAGAGGGGGTAGATGTTTCCTTAATGCTACGTCCCTTTCAATATAAGCCTGAGAGTTTGCTCCATCTAAAGCAAAAAAAATAGAAGTCTTAACAGATTCGACTAATTTTGCTATATTTTGAATTTAGGTAGATTCGTTTAGATTAGCTTAGGTTAGGTTAGGTTAGGTTAGGTTAGGTTGATTTAAGTGAAATTATAATTACTAGACGACGAACTATAACTTACTTTCGCTGTTCACAGGGCCGAATGTTAAGTAGTGAGAACCTCTTGCGACTAGTCCGGTTCCATATTCCATTTCGTATAAGTGTTCACCACCAAATTCGTCTCTCAATGTAGCTCTATGAACCTAAATCAATTATAGGAGTTACAAAATAATTGTAACCAATTGAACACAGAATTACATCAAATTGTTATCGTAGATTGGTTTGTATTTTTTGATAGACGAAATAATTTAAGTTGACCTCAAATTGATTCAACCTAATTTTGGAATTACTTACCATTAATTCTAGCTCTCCGTCATTCAAACTGGACCCTCCTTGCGCCCTATCGATAATAACGGCAAACTGTACTCCTCTATCTTCATCCCTCAAAACCATCCTGGTAGTAACAGGGTAGTAATTACCAGATTGTGGTTCGCCGTTGGTGTAGTTGAAGGTAGGCCTGAAGTTCCTCTGTCTTTTAATTAGTTCTCTGCTGTTAGAGTCGGTGTAGAAAGTACCGGCTGTTGCTAAGTCAGTGGTGTATTTAATTATCACATCTCTTCCCGAACCATCACTAGAAGATAAAGGGTTCTCGGTTTTTTGTTGATAATGCGAACTCATTTTCATGGGTGTAGTATCACGTAAAGTGTCATGGTATTTTTTTTGCTTCGAAGCCTTGTAACCCGATGCAAAGCAACCAATTCTAGTCTGGCATGCAGAATGAAATATTGGCTCCACATCATTGAAAGCCGCCTGAAAGGTTTGTGTTCTATCTAAAAGAGATAACAGTGTCTTACCCAACATCAACTGGTCCGGCCAACCAGTCATTCTCGATATAATCTGTGTCCTGGTAAATCCTTATCGTCATTATACCCCAATCCCTCATTTCCTGCCTAATTTCGATACTCAAATCGCTGGTGGTGATCTGGTTTTCGACTTTATCTGAAAAACTGACTGGATCCCTACGATTGACGTCCGGTTTGAACATGTAAGCTCCAGATCCGTAGTCGCTGTAGTAGAACATTACTTTAGGAGTAACGTTGAGCTCGAAACCGTTAATAGCCATCGTTTTAATGAAGCCGGTCTCTTCGTCCAGTATTACGTAGTTTTTCTAGAAGGTACCAGGTAATCATGCAGGAAACTTAAATATTTTACGAGAGTGCAATGGTTTAAAGCAAGTTAAACTAATTAAAAAACAAATGTGCATAGCTTATATTACCTCAAAACCAATTTTGTTTCTATCTGCTATCGCTTGAGTTTGATTGGACAATTCGGATACGTCGCCAGTTTTTGCTACTTCATAAACCTTATAACCAAGTGGTGGTATATTTTCAGCTTTGAACATCAGTATTTTTTTCACTTAAAACTTTTCCTGTCGCATCAGCAACAAATTGAAAATTCCTTGCTGGGGTATACAAATTATTTAATATCCCGTTGCCTATAAAAAAGTTTTAGGTTAGTTCGAATCGTATTCTACCTACCAGTCATTGCATCATCAGTATAGACACTATAGGCATTTAATCTAAACTTTTGCATTCTGCAAGTCTAATATGTGTTTTGTACTGTTAATAGCAACAATAAAGAGTAAAAGTAATATGTATATGATTTGATACAGTATATGTATACCAATGTAGTAATAACTACTAACTAAAGTTTAATTCCAACAATGGGAAATTAAATTATGGTTGAAAATACGGAATGGTAGTTTCTGTGACACAGAATCAATTAGTGGGGACTATACTAAATGTTGTCTACTTGACTACTTGGCCAAGATTTAGCTACATCGGTTGTTCTGCTACTACTTGTACTGTAATGCCAGTTGTTAAATTGATATGCTATGGTCCAATAATATAATCAACTGAATGAAATCAAAACTACCTTACCTTCTGGGTCTGTAACGGTCCATGCACCATCATCTACTGGAACTTGCACATACTCGGTAACAGTTCTACCCAACGGATTGTACAATAAGATTCTAAAGTTACCCTCCTTAGTCTCGTGACAAATACTAACATTTGCCCACGCACAATAGTGTAGGTCAATATCTTGTTCTATACCCAACAGCTTCCTAAAGAACCATACACCAAGTGTCAAGTGATAGACTCTGGGTTAGTGTCAGACATTCCTTATCAAAAAAATGATCTACCTAACATTACTTACGTTAGCGCCTTGCTGATATGCTGAACCGATTCAAATATGCCAGCATACAACGACCGATGGTAGTCTTTTTCTACTGCCTGTAATTCTGTCCCGGTGATCGCGTCATGATGTTGCATTACACCAACTGCATTGGCCAAGTTGAACGACAACTCTTGTGGCAAACCGGCCAGGGCAATGAGTTGTTTTGTGGCCTACGACATTAATTTAGTGCTTTATTATTTGGACGTGGTGCATGGAAGAAGAAAATTGATACTGGGTAATGTCACAGGGTCGAATGTCTCACCTGCAGATAGTGATTACTAATACGTTCATAGCGCTTTGACGTTGGCCTCGAAGTAAAGAAGCCGGTCCAACATCCGTCGTTCTCCGATATAAGAGGCATAAAGTCGTCTGTTTTATGATCCAGGACAGCGTTTTCTCTGATAACGTACTCGTTAACTGCTTTAGCGTAGCACGATGGCGTGGAATAAAATACATTGAGTTCTTTCCCGTAAATATTTGGATTGTACTTTTTGAACCCACTAAAATTAATGAAAAACAGTTTTGTATAATGTTGTGTCTCTGTCTGATTCATCTACACATATACTCTTCGTTATTCTGGAAGAGGAACAACCCAATACAAACCTTTGAAAATATTTTAAGTTAAACGTACGAAGCGTAGAAGGGCCACATCCAACCTTTTTACATTTCGTAAAAAAATTGTAAATTTCGTAAAAAGTTTGTGAATTCCCACTTTTTTTGAATTCACAAACGTTTTACGAAATTTACAGTTTTTTTACGAAATTTTGTAAAAAAAGTGTGAATTCACCAACTTTTTTACGAAATTTACAGTTTTTTTTACGAAATTTGTACTTTTTTTGCAAAAGAGCGAAACCTTACAGATTTTTTACGAAATTTCGTAAGTTTTTAATTTTTTTTTCGAAATTTCGTAAAAAAGGTGTGAATTCACAAACTTTTTACGAAATTTACAGTTTTTTACGAAATTTCGTAAGAGAAGTTTGAATTCACCATTTTTTTACGAAATATTGTAAAAAAGTTGGATGTGGCCCTTCTACGCTTTCGTAGAAATGTCGAAAAGTATAAAAAGTTAATAGCAGTATGCACCTTATCAATTTATCTATATTGGCGAAATTTTTTTGAGCCTGAGTATAATGTACATCGTCTCCCATTGTAATAAACAGGTTATTTGTTGGGTAATATTGCACCTGATCAGCTATATATCCAGCAAAGTCTGATACCTGAAATAAATCGGTAGATAGTTGTAAATTGGAACAATTTTACGCCTATACATAAAAGTTTGTTATATGTTTACTTTATACATATAAATGTATAAGCAAACTGGTAGTATTTTCATACAGACATTCCATAAACATATAAAATTACAAGCACTGCTACTTACAACTTGGTTCCAGTTAAAATCGGAACTGTCTTCATCTGTTACGATCTCTGCATCTCCGCAGGATATGTCGTAACAAAAACCGGGAGGCCAGGCATAAGTACCTCTAGTGAATGTTGAAGTAAAAATATTGGAGTCCTTCCCTGAAATACAAATATAACAATATATGAATTTTTAATGATAGCTATGCCAAAGACAAAAGTTATTTACGAACGATCTCGAATAAATTAAAAATTAAAGGAAGGAGCATATTATAATGTTCGTCATAATATGCAGCTAATATATACATACGACGCTGTCATCTGCGACGAATATTAAACCGAGGATTTTCTCTTCAGCGACTTCGTATGAGTAAATTACCTAAATTGTCGCTACCCCTCCAAAGCAAATCCATCGTCCTGTGGCTCTTCCTTTTAGCTTGGTCTCTGTAGTCGTAACGCATAAAAATGAAGGAATCAAAGCCCATTTGCGAGTAGATTGAGGCTTGTTCTCTGCTGTGGCCGAAAGGGTCGATCTGCCATCCAGTCTTGGTTAGCCCACACTCACCAAAGGTTTCGTATAGCCACCTGCAAGAGGGACATGATATTAAAGGTTATAGTCCAGAGAAATTGGAATGTGAATGTCAGATACGATGTCTAAAACTGTTAATCCAATATAGAGTATTACGACAAATACACTGGGACTGACGAGGCCGTACCTGTTATGTGGATGAGGTTTTTGATCACTATTTTGTAAGGTAGTTGTAATATAACCGAAGCACTTACTTATGTCCCAACGTAAATTGGTCGATAGTACCCTGGTAATGGGTATTTGCCTCGTCATTCATGCTCCACCCTCCATTTATTATCTCGAGTCTTCCTTCATTGATCAATCGTTTCACGTTTTCTTTTGTAGCGTCATCCTGCATCTCCCACCATCTATGGAGGTAATAAGTCTCTACCTGGATAAATCTACAAGTTTAGATGATTTACGAGTTGTGTATTACACTTTTTATGTTTTATTTTATTCTCAGGAATAGCGTCTATATTTGAAAGGCAAAGATTTGTAGAAGGTTTAAAGAAACAACATTTTTTTGCAATAATAGCATTATTTCAGTAATAACTAAAAGTTTTTTTTTTTTTAATGCTTTTATTTGAACCAGTGAAAAATTCGCCTGCCAGGGATTGAACCTGCAATCTCCTGCTTGCGAGCTGACGCCTTTACCAACTAAGCTACAGACCCCTCAGGCTAACATGTATATACGCCATTTCCGGACAGTAATATTACCTTCTATTTGGATCCAATAGCAGTTGTTCGACCACCGAAGATATAATGTACTGCACCTCTAGAAACAGAACGACGTTCTAATAAGTTAAATGGCATTTTTTATGCCATATTATTATTTATATATTATTTATACAAAAAGTAGATCAGATGTACGCGTGACATTGTATAACAATTAGTAGAAAAGAATTAGCTTCATTCATTCGTAGAAATCGAGGTTTGTTCTAAATTAGGTCAACTTACGGTCGTTGAAGTACTCGTCTACCGTTTTTAACCATCCCAGGTCATCGTGGGAGTGAGGAATCAAGTGAACATTTATTTTGTTTGGATCAGTCGCTGGACAAACCTAAAATTATCGTTTAAGGTTTAATCCGAGTAGTATCTTAAGGTTTAACCAAAAATATTTACTATCGTACAAAAATTACTTACTTGATATCCACATCCTAAAGTATCGTTTAAACTAAATAGATGTGGTTTAGCCTGTACGGTGAACACAAAAGAAAAACAGACTATGATTACTCTGGAGAATTGCATTTTGTTTATTTTAAAACAATGTAGTTACATCTTAATTTGAACTCCAATCTCTACGTGTTATGGAAACCTTTGATTTATTATATCAACTAATCAGTGCCGCAAATATATTGATATAATCATATTTTAAGTGCTTTCACTTATTTATATAGAAACACTTACAAGCTTGGTAACAGCAAAGCACAACAAACTTTGAAGAAAACAATGACGTAATGTTCGTACAATTTTAGAGAAGCCCTTTCATATTTGACTGTTGATGGTTGTATGGAAAATGTCTAACAAAGGAAGATGGTTCCTACCTATCTACCAAGACCACGTTATTCAATTTCCTCGGATTTATTTTAAACAAACAAATTTATGTAATTTACTTCGGTAGTCCCTCTGTAATAATACACCCCTGGACTAAATTGTCACCCCACCACAGTCTTCGTTTCCTTAACTTATGCTATGTCGCGTCTCGGCCACTTCCGACCCAATTGTTTTTCATTAATCGACAATTATGTTCCTTCAATCTTGAGTTGATATGTCTTTCCGTAAGTCCAATGTATGCTTTTTCGAGCCTTTAAGATTTCCTTAGCTAATTCATCGTAATTAAGAGATGGAAAGTAGAATACTCCTAGTACCTATTACAAAATATTGAGAGCAATGTTGCTTATTTTTATGACATTTTTCGTATATTTTATATGTATATCCAACTTATTTTAAAGAGTTGCAAACTTCAAACTAATGAACAGAAACTGTGTTAACCAATTTTATTTTCTCACATTTTGCATAACACAAAAGAAAACATCACAATAATATAAAGCATATAAAAACTAATAACAAAAAAAAAACTACAAAGATTTTGAGATTTCTATAACGAAAGTCCTAATCTGCATTGGTGTAAGAGTTATTTGCAAGTCAATGTACGGTGACGGTTGTGGTGATATTTCAACAATAGTCTGCCGTTTAACATTTTTAGATTTATGACTGGCAGCCTCCCTACCTAGCTGTTCAGCTTCACTGCGGTCTATCATTTGGTAGTTTCCGTAAATGAGGTCTTCTACGTTCCCAGCCGTGTCGAAATGCAGTCTCTGATTTTCCGAAAGCCACTGATTAGCACCCAGGGTTGTTTCTCGTAGAGAGGTTACATCAAACGGTGCAAACAGATTCTGTGAAGGTATATTATATGATTGACTAGTATGTATATTAATAATAAGAACACATTGGGGGAAGCAAAAATCGGGAACTGGTTATCGCACTCACCCCTAAATCGACAGTGACAGGTTGGGATAGCTTGGGATCTTCCTCGCTCTCCAAAACGTGCTCCAGTCTAAGCAATAAACTGAACCCTTTCCACGGTTCCAACGTTAAAATCTGTACGTTATCTGGTAAGGCGCGTTTTAGCCCAGCATACTGCAAGTAGTGTAAAGTGATAAATTGAGCAACATTTTTAAAAAGATACTAACCTCCATCTTGTATTTCTGTTTATAATTCTCATAACTCAGACCATTAGTTGGCGAGAGGAATATCCAAGAATCTAAGAGCTTCCTTTGAGCTAGGCTACGTTCTTGGGCTGCCACAGTTCTTCCTGTAACAAAACAGTTTTATTAAACTAATAGAACAGGATATTAGGACCGAATTGAAAGATCATTCTTACCTCCGGGGTTACTGGTGTTCGTACTGCCAAATACTAAGTAATGCGATCCTCTTGCAACGAGTCCTCTGTTGTAAGCCTTCTCCACCAGGGCTTCACCGACTCCAAATCCATCGTCATGCATACAATTTCTATGTAACTGTTATTGATAATAAAAATAAAAAGGTGATTTAGTATAACAACCGTTTGGTTGGTTTGATATACGTTACCATCAACTCGATTTGACCATCCTTCAAGCTCGACCCACCCTGGGCCCTGTCGGTCAAAACCGCGAGCTCAGAATCACCATCACGGATCAGTATTTTCGAAGTCACAGGATAATAGTTGCCAGCAACGGGTTCCTTCAGGTTCACCTTCCACGTCGGTCTGACGTTTCGTATCCTCTTGAGCAGCTGCCGACCATTGGAGTCGGTGTAAAAGACGGAATTGGATTTCAGGGCTGACTTGTATCTCGTAATGATTTCTTTGCCGTTATATTCACTAAACGAAAAATATGCAAAAACAAACATTAATACAACTATAAATAGTAACAAGCGATTGAAGACAAAGCGTTAAATCCTGTACATGACTTACTTTGACGGAATTGGCCCAATAACCCAATCAAACTCAATTAAATCCTCATTGGCATAGACTCTTATAACTTGAGTGATCCATGAACTGAACTGTTGGTGAAGCTCTGCCACAAGCAGTCCACGATATACTTTTATCTCAGCTTTATTAGTAACTCTATAGACTGTCCCATTTGGTCTGAATATGTACGCCCCAGACGATCTATTAACGGACTTGCTATTGTCGCCTACGAATCCTTCATAATACATGAACTCTTGGCTCAGGTCGATCTCTTTGTTGTTCATGAAAATTTTGGAAATGAAGCCTGTACTGGGGTCTACCTGAAACTCTGATTCCTAAAATAATTAAGATTATTACATAATTAATTAGTGCCCAGACAGCGTCTATAGTAATTAAAGAAACCAAACAAAACTTAGCAAAGATAACAGTACCCCTAATTTGTATTTAGTCAGTTCTTCCTGTGAAATTTCTACGTTCTGTTGAGTCTTTTGGACATAGAATGACTTGAAACCTAGCGGTGGTATGTCGCTGGCTAGGAAAACAAGTTCTACTTTCGCATTACTACGTCTACCGGGAATGTTTCGCACACCTATGCTGATAGGAATAATCTGGTTAACCAACTGTGTACCTAAAAAACCAGTACATATTGAACAAATGCACAATTTTATATTCCATGTTCTTCTCTCTATTTTTTATTGAAAGGAAACCTAACATACGTAAGGGTTTAGGTTGGTTATGTAATAGATATGAAGAATCTTGTGTTGATACAATCGATATTTCAAAAATAATACCTTTCGCCAAGTAACTATACTTACCACTAGGATCTAATACAGAGTAGTTGCTTCCTAGGACAGGGAGCCTAATAAATTTGGAAACGGGCCTACTAAGGGGGTTGTATACCGTCACCACAAAGCTCTCTTTACTTTCAGAAAACTGGCATTCGCTGATATTCAATAAACGGCAGCTGGTGAAAGGTATCGTTGGAGGAGGTTCTTGGGTTTGTTGGAGGTTCACATTTGGGGCCACGATTTTACTGAAACACGACAGTTAGTTTAAATACATGTTTAAATACATTAGTGTTCGAGTACTTTTTGTATTGCACCATAAAAACTCATTTCAAAAACTTGCCTGAGTGCAGTGGCGGCAATGTACTCGCATTCTTCGAATCCCTTGGATAACAGCATGGCGTAGTCGTGGGCGACGTGTTCTTTTTCGGTACCGGTAACGGCGTCGTGGTGTTGCATAACCCCCATAGCCTCTCTCAGGACGTTCAAATCGACCCTGTCCTCCGGCCCCAAATCGGTCAGAGCGTACAGTTGTTTACATACCTATTAACCATATCAAATCGATTAATAAAAGTTTTTTCGGCAATTTAATTAATTAGCCTGAGGGGGACAAGTGTATACATATATACCAAATAAAATCTCCTTAGACGATTATGACTTTGGACCCTATTGAAGCTAGGATAACTGGGCTAAAAGTGTTATCGAAAAATTCGTGACTATTACATTTACATTTACGTACCAACCTTTGAATTTACCACTTTTCTGCAGATATGGTATCTATAGTGTAGGTAACCATAATAAACTCATGCAGTTTTAGACGCCATAAAACTTATCATACTGGAGTTAAGGTAGGTACCCAATGATAATTAAAAAAATACAGGTTGGAAACTTAAATCTTTACGTTTAAATGCATTACAACATACCTACAGTTTAGGAAATATTAAATAATTTAGGAGCACCTTTTTAGGAGGTGAAATTCTCCAGAAAACTATTAACGCCTTCAACGCCTTTATTTGGGCATATTATAGTCCAGTGCCAAACCAATTTTCAGAGGCCAAACAGACGACAAAATTAACATTATACGGATAATGGAAAAAAATCGATTGGATTTTCTTCGTAATAGAAAAAATTTGAAACTTGCCTGCAAGAAATTGTTCCCAACCCTTTCAAATCGCTTGATGGTCGGCCTTGACGTATAGAATCCGGTCCAAAAAGCGTGCGGATCCGAAGCATATGGAAAGAAGTCGTCCTGTTTTAATAACCAACTGCTTTTTCCGTTAGTCTCGTCGTGGATTGCCTTCACATAGCAAGATGGCGTCGAATAAATCAGATTATACTTGGAGCCGTTTTGTTGTCGAAGATTAGCATAGCTAAAATAATATTGATATCTAAGAATATGATGAATTTGAACATGAACGATTGATATCAAGGGGAAG